TGGAAAAGGCCGTCTTTCTGTGGCATGTTTGTGTGGGCCCATTTCTGGGTCACCTCTTCTGTTCTCTTGAGCTGCATATGCCTATCCCTCCACCAATGTCACACACTTTAGATTACCGTTGCTATATAATAACACTTAAAATGGGGTAGACAAATTTTTCCCACTTTATTCTTTTTTTTTAAAATTGTTTTAGTTCTTCTTATTCCTTAGTCTTTCCATATATGTTTAGGATAATCTTGTCTGTATCTATTAAAAAAATTTTGCTGGAGTTTTAATGAGGGCATTAAACCCATATATCAATTTGGGGAGAATGGCACCTATGTACTATCTTGAGTCTTCCCATCCATGGACGTGGATGGTGGTGTTGAGTATTGCTATCTACTTGCTGATTTTCTGTCTAGTTCTTCTCTCAATTATTGATAGAAGAGTGTTAAAGTCACCAACTATAACAGTGGATGTCTGTTTCTGCTTTCATTTTTATCAGCTTTTGTTTCACCTGTTTTGCAGCTCTGCTCTTTGATGTACACATTTAGGATCACTGTATCTTCTTGGTCGAGTGACCCTTTTATCGTATACTGTCCCTCTGTGTCTCCAGTGATTTCCTTTGCTCTGAAGTCTACCTTATTTAATATTAATAGTTACTCCAGATTTCCTTTGATGAATGTTTACATTATATAATTTTTTCTATTTACTTTCCAGTACCCTATACTCATATTTGAAGTGAGCTCTTTGAGATAGGATATAGTTGGACCATGTTTTTTAATCCACTCTGCCAAGCTCTGTCTTTTAATTAATGTCTTAACACTCTTTATAGTTCATGTTACTGAGGTTAGGGTTTTTGCCTGCCACTTTATTTTTTGTTTTCTGTCATCTCTGGTTTTTGTTTTTCTGTTTATTTTTCCTGCCTTCTTGTAGGCCATTTGAACTTTTTTTAGAGTTCCAGTTTTATATATTGTTTTGTTTTGTTTTGTTTTTTTAGTCATAGTGGGTTTTAATGTACCTCTTTGTATAGCATTTTTAATGGTTGCTCTAAGGATCACATGTATAACATGGTTTATAAAAAGTCTGTATGGATTTTTCTATAAAATAAAAGACATTTTCATTTTCACCAATAACTTTATTGATTTGGATATTTTGAGTGTGTCAGCTATTTCCCACATGGTATAACATTGCTTGTCCTTAATGTCTTGATTTGATCAATTTCTTTCTTTTTTTAAGATTTTATTTATTTAGTTTAGAAAGGAGAAGGGAGGGAGAAAGAGGAAGAGAAACATCAATGTGTGGTTGCCTCTCACGCACCCCGTACCAGGGACCTGGCCCGCAACGCAGGCATGTGCCCTAGATTGGGAATCAAACTGGGAACTCTTTGGTTTGCAGGCTGGCACCCAATTCACTGAGCCACACCAACTAGGGTGTTACTAATTTCAATTGGTTGCCCAGACTATGGAGTATCGTCCAGCAAGAAATCTCCACGAAACTTCACAAACCACTTTTTACATGTTCGATCAGTCACAGCAACTTCTCCATACACTGCACAAATCTTTTTTGAATTTCAGTTGCATTTTTACCTTTCTTGAAATAATAAGCATAATATGCTGAAAATGTTGCTTTTCTTCCATCTTCAATATTAAATTGCTAACCAAAAATTCACCAATTTTGATGTTTTTTTAAATGCACGCTGTTATGACAGCTGTCACAATAAGTCTTACAAAATTGTTTCCAATGAAGTTAAAGACAACTAAGTGCTGCTATAGCCATCTTACGGAAAAAAACAAATGAGCTTTTTGGCCAACTATATATATATATGTGTGTGTGTGTGTGTGTGTGTGTGTGTGTGTGCATATATATATATATATATATATATACACATACACATATTCATAGACACACACATATTCATACACACACACATCATAGTCTGCTGGTGTTGTTTTAAGTCTCGTTAGACCGCCTCTTTCCTGGCTCATTGGCTAGAGAGAACATGTCTTTGTTGGTCTTATTTGGTCTGCTTTCATTGGCATTTCCAGGTTGCTGTCATGTCCAGTTGCAAGTCTAGGATATATGAGACAAAAAGAAAACCCAAGGAACTCACCAGCATGTCAATCCTCATGTCCCAAGGTCCCTGGCCAGTCCTCCTTTTCCTCTCTACCTTTCAAAGCTTTGTGTTCGTGTTCATTTTATATTTAATGTCTCAAGGTCTTTACTCGTATTTAGCGGGAGAAATAGGGATAGATATAATACATCTACACTATCTTCCCAGAAGTGGAAATTTCTCCCAGTTTTATTTTTGACATAACATATAATTAAGGTGAATCTTCTGTTTCTTTACTATTCTGAGTATACCTATGACTCCAACCCAGTGTTCTGCCTTGGCATTTACCCCAGAGGAAGTGGCTCGTGACTGTCACAGAGTTTGAGTCCAGTGCCTTTAATCTGTATTCTCACTCACCTTTCCTTCCTGTGTCTTCCCTGTATTGTCCTCTGTGATGTCCTTTTCAAAGAGCTGCTTCTAGCAGATACCTCTCAGCCACAAGATGGTGCCCCAGAGTAGTTCAAGCCAAGCCTTTCCTGCTCTTCCAGGAGCCTCTGTCTTTAACTAATGTTAGTCATTAGGCTGTGATCCCTACCGTGTGCCTTCTACATAGGGAGGCCAAGATGTGACTGCCGAATGAACACAGTAGCTGTTATTCCTCACTTTGAAGAAAAGAACTATATTTTACTGGCTGTAAAGCTTTGGGTGTAGAGCCCTCACACTTGTCTTAGTGTATACTTCTTTTTTTTTTTTTTAAGAATATATTTTTTGTTTTATTTTTCAATGAAAGTTTACATTATTGTTTTATACTAGTTTCAGTTGAACGGTGTATAGGTTAGACAATTATGTAACTTACAACATGCTCTCCCAGATAAGTCTAGTACCTACCTGGCATCATATGTAGTTATTACAATATGATTAACTAAATTCCCTATGTTGTGCTTAACATCCCTGTGACTATTTTTATAATTGCTATTTTGTACTGCTTAATCTTCACCCTTTTTACCCATCCCTGTAAACCACCTCCTATCTGGCAACTATCAATTTGTTGGATAAGTACTCAAGTGGAATTCCTGGGTCATATGGTAGTTCTATTTTCAGTGTTTTGAGGAGCCCCCATAGTAGCTGCACCAGTTTACAATGTCACTGACTCTAGTTGTTTGTTGATTAGTGATGATAGTCATTCTGACAGGTGTAAGTTGATATCTTATTGTGATTTTAATTTGAAGTTCTCTACATTTAGTTCTCTACAAACTAGTCATGTTAAACATATTTTCTTATATGTTTCTCTGTGTATTAACTCACATTCAGTGGGCAAGTTGTGTCGATTCTGTCTCTTAATTCTACGGTTAATAATTAGGCGTAGTAAAACCAACTACTCTTTCCTAAAATAATGAGACTAGTAGGATACATATATATAAAAATCCAAAGCAGCCCTGGCTGGTGTAACTCAGTGGATTGAGAACAGGCCTGTGAAGAGGAAGGTTGCTGGTTCAATTCCCAATCAGGGCACATGCCTGGGTTGCAGGCCAGGTCCCCAGTAGGGGACACATGAGAAGCAACCACACATTGATGTTTCTCTCCCACTCTTTCTCCTTCCCTTCCCCTCTTTGTAAAAATAAATAAAAAATATATATTTTTAAAAATCCAAAGCATCTTAGTAATTAAAAAATTTAGCCCTTACTAACTCACTGTTTTCTACATGTGCATTAGACATTAGAGGTACTAAAGCAATATTTGACAGCTGACCAAATAAATGAATGAAATTTTATTGGTTATAGAATTTTAAGCCCTGGCCAGTGGTTCAGTTGGTCGGAGCGTTGTACTGTACACCAGAAGGCTGTGGGTTCCATCCCCAGTCGGAGCATACACGAGAGTCAACCAATCAGTCTCTCTTGCTCTCTCCCTCTCTGCCTCCCTCTCTCTCTAAAATCAATAAATATATCTTCAGACGAGAATTAAAAAAAGAATTTTAAATATCTTGAAAACCTGCATGGGAAGAAATTATGAGCAATAAGAACCTAGCCTAAAATCAGTGCCTTTCCAACCAAGACCCAAGAAAATTAAGGATTTCTTCAGTGACTTTGAACTTGTGATTTTTAAAGGCTCAGCAAGTCTTATAAATTAAAGAACTTTTATATTTCTGGTACACTATTATAACATAAATGATCATTTTTCAGTAGCTTTTATTTTATTTTATATAATAGCTTAGTTTAATAGGCTGCACAAGAAAATAATATCTAGATTTTTATTTACAAAAGACTGACTACAGGCAAGCTCACCAAAGTACTAGATTTACCAAAAATCCAAGGCTAGACTTTTAAGAGGAGTTCCTGTGCACGGAAGACAGGTGGGAAGTGGAGAGAATGGGAGTAAACGCACTGACTGGAAGATAGGCTACGAGATGGAAATTGACAGGCCTTTGGGAGGAAAAGGGAATTCTAATGAAAAGAGCAGTCTCTGCAGGATCGTGACATGGAAAAGTTAGCTGAAAATTCCAGCTACTTACATACTTTAAAAATAAGAAGCACAAACCTTTACTAACACGAAAACATGCAAAATACCAATATATAAATATACGAAAGCTGAGCTATATTGATTGAAACGGGGTTGGTATGTACTTGTACGGGAGCCAAACCCCATCTTCCTGGGCCTCCTCATCTCTATCCCAGTAGACTTTAGGGAACACAGTTTAAAAATAAATCTAGTTTATACTTATTTTTTAAAATGTTGTTTAAACCCTGGATCCAATAGGGCCTGGTCATTGGGCAAGTGTTAGACATTAATTTGTAAAAAGGAAGCATTTTCCTCAGACTTACAAAGATGGAAATTATTTTAAGGAATGTTTTCTTACTCCTTACCAGAAAAGTGTTTCACCCCATTGAGATCACCAGCTGGAAGAATCACCCCACTTACTTGAGATTCTTCCTTCCTTGACCTTCTTGGGGTCCGGCTTTGTGTTTTTTAGCTCTTGGGTGTGGTCTCTCAACTAGCCAAGCAGAATCTGCACGTGCTGGTCCTGGGCCGGAAGCACATGCTAAATTCACGTGCCCAGTGGAAAAAGGATGAGATGGAAGAGGTGCGAAAGCTAGCCAGCTGTTTCTTTGCTGACAACATGTAAGTACTGCAGGTAATAACTGAATTACACTAGGCTCCTGTCATCTGCTTGGTAGTTACCTATTTTCACCATTTCTTTTTTTTTTATCTTTAAAAATATTTTATTTGTTTATTTATTTTTAGAGAGAGGGGAAGGGAAGGAGGAAGAGCGGAAAAGAAACAGAGAGAGAGAGAGAGAGAGAGAGAGAATTGGCTGCCTCTCACTCATCCTCTACTGGGGACCTGGCTCGCAACCCAGATGTACACTGACTGGGAATCGAACCAGCAACCTTTGGCTTACAGGCTGGTGGTACTCAGTTCACTGAGCCACACCAGCCAGGGCTATTTTCACCATTTCTTAAAGTGCATATGTATGTATACTCAGCCTTATTAAAAAAAAAAAAAAGGAAAAAGATTTGAGGCAGTCATAAGGCCCTAAATAGATCCTTTAACAAATACTTTACAAATATGAGCACGTTCTGTGTTCCTGGAGAAACAGCAGTGAACAAGACCAACAAGTCTCTGACATCTTATGACTTACAGTAAACAGGTAAACAAATAAACAGGTTATATAATTCCAGGCAGCGATCAGTGCTATGAAGACAATAAAGCAGAGTAAGTAGATACGAAGGGATTAGGCAGTGGTAGGTCGGCAGGTAGTGGGCGGAATGATCAGGAAAAGACTTTGTCGGGGGGCAAGTCTGAAGGGAAGGAGTGAATCATTCGAGAAAAGGAGAGGGGTAGTGGGAAGAGCATAACAGGTAGAGGGAACATCAAGTGTTCAAAAAGCAGGAATGACCTTAGCATGTTGGAGGAAGGCAAGCCCGCCAGTATAGATGGGCTGTAGCAGCAAGAGGGAAAGTAGTCCGTTCTGAGGTCAGAAAGAAGAGGGCAGGGACCACATTACAGAGCACTTTGTGGGCCCTGGTAGGCAAGCAAGGGACTTGGATTTTGTTCTAAATATAAAAGAAATGTTTCTATGAACTACAGCCTCCCGGGAAGCCAAAGGAATATGGAAAATGTGCTCAGAAACGAAATGTACAGTGTCCATAGTAAGAAGAATGCAGCTAATCAGGAGGGACACAGATCCTCAACAGCACAAATGAATGCTTTTTGTTTTTCATACTATATGCTGACGAAACTTTATTTCCAACTTTGCGTGAATGATGTGTGTGCCTCCACCCCAAGTCTGGGTTTCATTAGGTTGAATGTGATAACTTCAAGCTCCCTCAATATTTCTCCATATCATGTATTCTTTAAAAAGGTAAAATGGCTCTTGGTACATGAAGCAAGAGACTAACCCCTCATTCAGATCCCAGACTAAATTCCTTTTCCTTTAGCTAAATTCTCTTATTTATTTATGGGGTGGGGCATGCTTCCATTTCTCAGAGTAGAAGACGATAATAATGATCTCCATGTAACGACGTTAGGCGACACGGGGTAGACTTTGGGAGTGCAGGCTTGGGAATGAGTCTACCCGGCTTCAGATCGTGGCCCTGCCACTTCCTGTCTGGGAAGGCGTTTCCTGTCTGTGTCTTCTTTTCTTCCCGTGTAACCTTTATAGGGATGCTGTCCAGTGAGATAATCCTTGTAAATAGTACATGGAAAACTCTTGGCACAGCATCAAGTACATGGAAGGCATATGTGTTAATTGCTGTCATCGTCGTTACTATTTTTCTTTGGTGGAAGAATTAGATAAATGCAAAGTATTATAACCAAGAACTAACTCTGTTTTAAAATGGTTTTGTGCTTGATTGGGGACCTGTGTTTACTGTATCCACTGAAGTCCAAACCCATTTGTAAAGATTGATTCAGTGGCCCTCTATGGCTTTGGATTTGAATATTAAATTTTTAACATTAATTCTATTTTTCATTAATATGCCAAAGAAGCCTTTTCATATGCACGGGAGAGAGAATAGTACAGTGAATCCCACATAACTAACTGCCACCCAACTCCAAAAATTACCATCATTTGCTAACCTTGTTTTATCTAACCCCCACATTTTTTCTTTCCCTTTCTCTTTTTCCTGGAGACTTTTAAGGCAGATTTCAGTCATTTTATCATTTCACTTGAAATGTTTCAGTATAAGGTAAATATACAGTCCTACCCTGGGCCATTTGGATGGAGTTACAAGTTTATAGCACATGTTGCAGCCAGACTCCCCTGAGCCAAGGTAGCTTCACTGTTTTTACAGCACACGCGCTGCAGTGGCAAGTGCTGATGCTGAGGGTCCATTGGAGACTCTGAGTTGCTGGTTCTGCTCCAAGCAGGAGAGGCCTTTGGGCACTGATTGGGGTGACTTCCTAGAAGCTGCCTTGATTGAGAGATCCAGTTTCGGCTTTGAGGGCAACCTGTTGTTTTTGGAGGCTTGCAAGAAACTGTCATCCTGCTGTATCATATCACTATTATGAATGTTCCAGACTTTGAGTGAGGAAAGGGGTGGGGTGCTCTGTGGTGGATGAGGCAAGTAAGAAAAATGTCCTGAGAACACAGAGAAGCAACTTTTGAATGTGAAGAGAGGATTACTGTTATAATCCTTCACTTTAGTGGGAGAGTCCAGTTGAGCAATGAAGAGTCCCAAGCAGCATTCCCTTCCCCTTACCTTCTGTGTTCTAGATACTGTTGCCTACCAGCTCAAGGAGTTCCCAAGTATCACTGAGGTCATGTCGGTTAAGAATGCAGAGCACCTCAGAGCAAAGGAGAATAACAAGGATAAGCATGCTGAAGAGTGCTGTCCTCTGCCTCCTTGAGGGTGTGCGTGATCGTGTCCCTTCTTGTGCCTCACTCAGCTCAGAGGACGATCCGTTCCTTCTCTACGCCACCCTGCACTCAGGGGACCACTGCAAGTTTATCACGAAGGATCTGCTGCGGGACCACAAGGCCTGTCTCTCTGATGCCAAGACCCAGCGCCTGTTCTTTAAGTGGCAACAGGGACATCAGCTGGCGATTACTAACAGGTCTCCAGGATCAAAAATAACCTTTCAGGTATGTCATGTGTCCTCTACATGATGTCAACAGAGTCAAGTACCTAGTAAGAAGGTGGCATGATCAAAGAATGTTGCAGCTTGTTGAAGGTTCTAAGTGCTTTATTTTTCTCAGTTTTAGTTTAGAATTTGCCATTTCCTGGAAACAGAAAGTCTGCCAAAGCAAAAGTTTTTATAAGGCAACCCCATGTTAACTGACATATTGCAAACACCTGGTATGTCATCAATTATGGCTTCAATTGTCTTTTTAATTGCAAATGTTCACATGTGGTTTTTATTTTTCCATTTATTTGTAAGAACTCAAAATTATCCTTATGGTTAGTCATACTTTTGCTAAGTAGCTCCACTTTCCTGTTTCATCCACTTCTACAGCCTGGTCTCACTTAAATTCTCCTTTGATTTGAGTATCTGTCTTTAAATACAAGGATGTCTCTTGTGTGCAAACAAAGAGAGAAAACCCAAAAGTGAGTTATTACAGAAAAATACACTAGCCAATGGCAAATAGGATCTAATGGTCAAAAATACACAAAACTAGTTTATAGGAACTAGAGCATCAGATGATGCCTCAGAAATGCAGTCAGCCTAATCAACCTGAGGGAGGCAACGTGGGTCAGCCGGTCTGGTTTCCTCAACAACACAGGACTGCAAAAATAACAGAGATGGAAAGGTAAGCTTCACATTAAAGGAGAATTAAGAGAGAATTCAACTAGTCACAATGTGATAACCTTATTTCAATCCCTGTTCAAACAAACTATAAAACATGTGCACATTAATTGGAAATGTAAACAAAAAATTGATGATGTTAAGGAATTATTAATTCTTAAGTTGTAATAATGATATTTTATGTACAAATTAAGTTTTTATATCTTACCAGTACATACTGAATTACAGAAGAAATGATATATCTGAGGTTTTCATCAAAATAATCTTGGGCGGGGGAGGGTGGAGGCAGAGCAGAGGAAGTGGGTGGGTGACATAAAATTAGTCTTGAGTTGATAATGGTTAAAGCTGGTTGACGGATACATGGGGTGCATTGTACTACTACTATTTCTCTATTTTTGTGTATTTGGGTTTTCCTCTGTCACATACAAAGCTGAAAAAGGCAACAATGGGAATACTGTATGGTGTTTGTGTGTGTGCGCCTATATGGAGTCCTTAACCTTAAACATGAAGACTCCAAGAAAAGCAGATCCCGGTACGAGGGTTCGCTTTTACAGAGCTAGCTGCTTTTTGCAAACTCATTGCTAAGTAAGACAGAGAATATGTCTCTGAGGCAAACTGAGAAGTTGTCAGAGAAGAAAGGGAAATGGCCGGGCTTCCCTCTGGTGTTGTTCTCAACGTCTGCTTCCCTTTTTAATCCAACAGCACATTCTCAGCTATGACACGGTGGTGCAGACCACTGGAGACTCGTGGCACATACCGTATGATGAGGACCTGGTGGAAAGATACTCCTATGAAGTGCCAACCAAATGGCTGTGCCTTCACCGGGAGACGTGAAGGCTCGTACCCCCATGCGGAAGTCGTGTCTGGGCGTCCTGCTGTTGGTGTCAGGGCTCTTAGGTTGACGCTTGTTTATTAGACCACTGCTTCTGCCCTGCTTGATCAGGCTTTCCTGTTTGGTTCCATGGGTTTGTATGTCAACAAATTGATTTTTTAATTAAATGTGTTATAATATCTTTTCATAACCAGTTGCATTTTTTTCCCATAAACAGTTTTTTTGAGGTTTAACGAGAGTTAGGGAACTCAGTGCAGAATGAAGCCTACATTTCTTATTGAGCCATCTATTTCACTTTCTGAAAAACTGGCAAGATATTAAAGACTTATAAGCAACTCTTATCACCCAACTATTTGGGTTCAAGGAAAGGGGGACAATTCCTTCTTTTACACTGTGATCTTCTGCTTCATGGTATAATGCCTTTTCCAGATTGGCTCCACGTTTTGTGAACACTGTTAATTCCATCATCACCTGGTATGAGGGCTTTCGAAAGTATGTGCAGCGGAACGCAGGTCCTGCTTCCCACCGCTCCGAAAGCCAATACTCGAGAGGCAGTTGCTGATGTAAAGGAAGGTGGTTTATTTGCAGACCCCGGTCACCTGGAAGATGGGGACTCATGACTCAAAACCCATTTCCACCTCTCATTGGAGGCAGAGGTTTCTTAGAAGGAGGGAGAGGGGAACAGAACAAAGAGATCAAGCAGGGGTTGAAAAGTTCCCTGTGTGCTGACGAGCACAGTCCATTCCAACAAGGCAAGTGATGGGCCTGCATGTGGCATCTGGTTAACTCATCATGGAGTCACATCACCCCAGCTTTGTGTCGTCCTGGCTCCAGGGAGGACAGTCGGCAGATCTCCTGGAGTTGGGATGCTTGAAGGGCAGAGTCTTTATCTTTTGAAACTAGTTCCTAGGATTCTTATAAAAACATGCTGTTCGTCTGTAAGCCACGTATTAGTCAGAGTCAGCACTTAGAGAAACAGTGTCAAAAGAATGGCGGGGTGGACTACAATTTCCCACCATTACAGTTTTCTACTGTTACATATATAGCTTCTTCCCATTCAGTTAAGTTTGGCTTAGTTTAACTAAGTGATTAAGTTTTAATACTTGCCTCTGTTTTACTCCTCTGCTAGCCAGCTGACACGTCACCGGGCCTTGATTTTAGCTGAAAATATTCCTATCTGTAGCACTCTTATGATAGTTATTTCCTTACTCCTACATACCATATGATTTAATATTTAAGAACAGACAAAACCAATCTGTGGTGATAAAAATCAAAATAGTAGTTGCCTGAGAAAAGGGGCACAAGAGAACCTCCTGGGGGTGATGGGAAGTTCTGGGTGATGATAGCACCAATGTATATATTACATTAGTCAAAATTCATCACACTAAACACTTAAAATTGATGCATTTACAACAGTGTGCCTCAGAAAATTATGTTAGCATAGGAAAATAATTACTACATGAAGACATATACACGGATGTAAGTAGGATGTGTCTGAGGGACAGAGACAACCCAGGATAACCAGGAGGGGATGTTTCATCTCCTTAACCATTCACTGGAGTCAGCATTTCTGCACACCTAAAGGGCTCCCCACTCAACCAGCCGCCAAACTGAGAGCATTCAAAGGTTCCGAGAATCAGAAAGCTTTTATAAATCCAATCTGTTTGTTTTCTAAATTTCATAAACTACATACTTAGAAAATTGTGCTTTCAGTCAGCTAAACTTTTTTAAAGGAACTCTCCTACTTTTAAGAAAATTTTAAAAGAGAAAAAAGCATTTGATAAATGATTTTGTCTAGTGCTGCCTGGTGTGTGTCAGTGGATTGAGTACCAGCCTATGAACTACAAGGTCGCTAGTTTAATTCCCAGTCAGGGCACATGCCTGGCTGTGAGCCAGGTCGCCAGTTGGGGGCGTGTGAGAGGCAACCAATTGATGTATCTCTCACACATTGATCTTTCTCTCCCTCTCTTTCTCCTTCCCTTCCCCTCTCTAAAAATAAATAAAATATTTAAAAAATAATAACCTTGTCTAAAAGCCTAATGCATATCTCTCACAAAGAACACACAGAGACGGGGCAGGATACAAAAAAAGAAGCCAGAATTTTAGAACCTAAGAATGAGCCTGGAAGAACACGAAGCCCAACAGTAAGTAGCATTTTCTAAACAGAGCAGAAAGATGGAAGGCTGCCCTGGGTCCCACAGCTAGTTAGTGGAGACATTTCAACCAGAGCCCACCTCTTACACTGGTTTAGGCTAGAGTAGATCATAGAAACTCAGAAAGGCTGAGTGGTGGGGCATCCAGTATTTACACTGAGAAACTCTGATAGACAGTTGAGGAGCTGGGGATGGGGGAGGGGCAGGGAGGGAGCAGGGAGCACCTGTCTAAGGGCCCACATTTCCAGAATGGCTCTCAGGGGAGAAAATTGCGGTAGAAAAATTACATTATTTTTGAACTCTTTAATACCTTTCAAAAACAAAACACTCATTTCTGCTTGAGGAAAATTAAGGTGCATCTGTTCTTTGTGCAGGGTGGGGGGAACGGTGCTAGGACCACTCAAGTAAGTCTAATACAGGACTCTGGGGAGTGCAGGGGTTCCTGGAATGAAGTCAGCTTGCACCAGACAGGGCGGCTGCCTTTTTCTATTCTGATCACCTGAGGGGAAAAAGCTACCTGTCACGGAAGGTTGAAGACACAATGGAAAGAAGAAATTCTTTAAAGAGCTCTCCTAGGGACTGGATAGTGTCCTTAAAGTCAGCCATAAACAATGACAGTTTTGAAAGGGCACTGACTCTGCCACTGAAAAATATTTCCAAAGTGCTTCATGCTGCCGTCTGTCATGCTTCTGTATTTATACTGTCTTCTCCTCCTGATGTTCTTAGACACAATAAAGAGAAGATCTCAGAGGAGAAGCGTGAGTTAGTTCTCTCGGGGGGACATTGGGACCACCTCACGTCAGGGGTCTTGTTCTTTACTCGAAGCTAACTTTTCAAGTTTGCACTTAAATACAATCAGTACTTCCTTGGTCCTGCATCAGGTTTCTAAGTTTTTAAAAAGCTGTCCGAAGGCCCTGGCCAGGTGGGTCAGTTGGCTGGAGTGCCGTCCTGCGCACCAAGGAGGTATGACGGGTTCAGTGCTCAGTCAGGGCACATACTGAGGCTGCTGGTTGGATCCCTGGTTGGGGCACATTTGAGAGACAACTGATCAATAATGCTTCTCTCTCGCATCGCTATTTCTCTCCCTCTCTCCAAAATCAATTTAAAAAAAACATATCCTTGGGTGAGGATTAAAAACAAACAGTGTCCTACGGTACTATGAAATGCATCACATTTGTTCACATTAGACTTCTTTCTCCTCGGTTGTTTCATTCTAAATCAGGCCTGGAAAGGAAGGGTGTGTTGTGCAGGCACCTGAATTCTGGTCCGTCATGGTGAGTCTTACCTTCATTTGCTAAAAATCAGAATTATTGAGGTCATTGAGGGCAAAGCAACACAGGGTCCAGATCTGGTGTTTTGCCCATGCTTAAGCAATTTGGAATTCACAGACTGAAAGACATCTAAGGGAGCCCTTGGTGGAACGAGTGGGAGCATAAGGACACAGGCCACTGCCATGGGATGGCAGACCTTCGATCTGGGCATGCTTTCTGGGGTAGAACTTAAGCAGAGAGAGTTATTGGTAAGAGGGACCAGGCAGCCTTCAGGGCCTCCTGTGGCCACGGGGTAAGAGAGTAGGGTTGTAGGATAAATTTGAATTTCAGGTAAATAACAATATTTCAGTATAGATATGTCCGAAGTATCATAAGGATATAAACTAAAAATATTCAGTGTGTATCTGAAATTCACATGTAACTGGGCATGCTATATTTTTATTTGCTAAATCTGGCAACCTAGGTGGGAATTACAGGGAAGGGGAAGGGGTCGTGGGAAATGGAGCAGCAAATACCCCAGCAGCCCTGCAGGAGGCAGAAGGGGAGCGAGGGGAGGGAAAGAAGGGAGTAGGGAGAAAGGAGAGAGGACTAGCTTTTTCCTGCTTCGTCCCAGTCAATGAAAAGCAGTCTGCTTGAGTCTATACTATATAAATGAAGGGATTTCCGCTCAGAGATAAGAGATCTACTAAGAGGAAACCATAGAAAACAGTGGAATGAAAGAAAATAGGGACACCAGAGAGTAAATGTAGTAAATCTCAAGAAATGTTCTTTAATTTTCTCTTTTTTTAACCCTCACCTGAGGATATGCTCATTGACTTTAGGCGGGGAGGTGGGAGGGAGAGTGGGAGAGAAACATCAGTGTGAGAGAGAAACGATCCATGAACTCTGTATGCACCCTGACCCAGATGTATGCACCCTGACCCAGATGTATGCATCCTGACCCAGACCCATCCCGCAACCCAGGAAACTGCCCTGACCTGGAACCCAACTGGCATCCTTTCACTTTGCTGAACGATGTCCAGCCGAGTCACACCAGCTAGGTCTTTAATTTTCTCTCATCATGTCTATTTTATGGTGTTTCAAGATTCTCTTGAAGCCCTCTCTCCCCAAGTTCTTTGTTGACAATATGTAATCTGATGGGTGTTTCCAGAGTCTACATAAACAACTAGCTTTCAACCGGGAAATGAAATAAACAGGAAGGCAATTATCTAGTTACTGATGGCAGCTAAAAATAGTTTTGCTACCAGCACACTCTCAAAGTACACTGTTACCAAAAGGCTTACATTGTTAAGATAACCATGATAATTTGTTGTAGATAGCAGTGATATATGAAGGGGTTTTTTTGTAGCTTCTGACAAGAAATCTGATGTAGAGAATTTGTTCCAACCATATTAAAATGACTACCCCAGTCACCTCTTTAGTGTTAGTTAAATCCAGCCCGAGACGCAAATATTTGGGTGATCATAGTAGGTGGTAAAGACATAGGTTCATTTTAAAGAGACCCCAGCTCTGTCACTCTCAGCTGGACTAGAACTTTACCAGGTATCAAGTAAATAAAATCTTATATATACAGTATATATATATATATATATATATATACACACACACACACATTTTTTTTAAAGACTTTATTTATTCATTTTAGAGAGGGGAAGGGAGGGAGAAAGAGGGGGAGAGAAACACTAGTGTGTGGTTGCCTCTCGTGTACCCCTCACCAGGGACCTTGTCCGCAATCCAGGCATGTGTCCTGACTGGGAATCCAACCTGGTGACCCTCTGGTTCACAGGCGGCACCCAAACCACTGAACCACACCAGCCAGGGCCACATCTACTTTTATTTAAAGTCCATTATTAAAACAGGTTTCTTGTGCTCTCTCTGACTGCATCAGAACACAGGATGTCAGTTTCCTGGTAGGTGCCGACAGAATTCCCTGACAACCCTGCTTTTGCCGCGGCTCTCTGGGGCAGAGGGGTACCCTAGGAGAACAGGATGGGCTCCCCCCCCCCCCACGAAAACAGGTTCCTCTGGCAGTGGTTATAGCAGGTCTTCCGAAAGGTAAGTCCCTGGTCCATACTTGTTGCTTAAGATATACTCTTGTGCTGTATTGGTAATTCTTTAAAAATGAATCATTTCTGTATTTTCTTCCTCTTTTCAGCGACCTTGTCCTAGAGTCCAAAGTTGCATTTTTATTCTATGCTCCAAACCTGAGCATTCTGTTGCTATTGTCTATGTATTTGTATGCCTATTACATTATATATATTATATATATACTATATATATAAGATTTTATTTAGTTTTAGAGACAGGGGAAGGGAGGGAGAAAGAGAGGGAGAGAAACATTGACGTGTGAGATATACATCTATCAGTTGCCTCTCACATGCACCCAGCTGGGCTCCTGGCCTGCAACTCAGGCATGTGCCCTGACCGGAAATCAAATCAGCGACCTCTTGATTTACAGGCAGGTACTCAATCCACTGCGTCACACCAACTAGGGCTAACATATATGTTTTTAAGGATTATCTCTGTAAA